GTTGCACTGAAGCAAGGGGAGGTTTGGCCATTGGAGAATGCCTACCTTCTTGGAGTTGCGCCAAAACATGTAGAGGTTTGGCTGCTAGAGGATGCCTGCCTCCCAGTGCTTGTGGTGGTTCTCTGAGCTGGAATCAGCCAGTTCCCCTAGCTGTGTCAAGGCATTTGGGAAGGGGAGTGTATGTGTTCTGGTGTTGGCACTTGCTTTCTCCACCACCCTGGTGCTCAGGATCTCTCACTGGTTTGCTGATGTGATGCTTACTGCTGCCTTGCCAGGACGCCTCCCATCCAGTACTGCTCCACTTCCACCACAGGGAGAAGGACCTTTCCCATTAATACTCCAAGCCTAAAAGACTGCTGCACTCCATCTTTTCCAAGATTTTTCCTGGGGTGATATATTCTGGGTTTTTAGAGGTTAATAAGGGAGAGTGGGAGGGACTTGTTACTTTGCTGTTGTGGCTCCTGGATGTAGGGGATTTTTTTTATAGTTGGTGAAGACATGGGTGTGTTCTTTGCAATAAGGAAGGAACCAATATGTAGGGATAGATTGAAGAGAAAGCATGGAAATGGTAGTGGGGGCAATCTGCTGGAGAAGATGGGAAGGCATGGGATCAAGAAGAAAGGCCGTTCCTTTATTTGCCATGAATAAATGCGAAGATGATGTGACACGAGTGATGTGAGATGAAGAGAGAAAGGAGGAGTTTCCTGCAAATGGACTCAGTATTTTGGCTGAAGTGTGCGGTGAGGTCTTTAGCTGAGAGGAGTGGAGGAGAGAGTGTTATGAGAGGCTTGAAGAGACACAAGATTTGAAATAGTGGTTGTAAAGAGTTGGATAGTGAATTGCTGTTGATTAAATTGCAGATGATACTGATTTGGGATGTTTCTTGGAAATATGATATATAAATGGGGCTAGATTAGCTGACTTGGCAGAAATAGAGGAATGGCTGGCTGAGAAGGCAGTTCATTTTGAGAAAAAATCAACACAGTTATTATATGAGAGGCAATACTTGAAACAGTTGTGTTGAAGGATTTCTGAGGTGGTCTTGGGACAGAAGATTATATGTAAGCTCATTGAGTATTGTGAAGTTGAGTTGTTTTTCTGAACATCATTTTGTACACTGGAGAAGTGATCATTGTGAACATTGAGTTGCTGAGAGTTCATCTGGAAATAAATGGGTACTCTGAGGACATCTCCATTTCTTAAAGCTGTAACAAAAAAGGGGGGTATTTAAAGAAGAGAAGTGAGAAGGATCATTGGCTGAAAGCAAATTGCTTTTTGTTGAGAAGCATTAAAAATAGTTTTGCTACTGTTACTTGTTATCTAAATGTAACTCACAGAGATAATTTGTTTAGCATGTTGAGAAAACAGCATCATTGAGGGTAGAGGTAGAGTACAGTTAAAGTGCTGCTTACTATCTGAAAACTCTTAACCACGTCCAAGAATTTCCTAGGTAAGTGATGAATAATCAGCTCATATGTAGACCCATAGCATACTAGAGTTGGAAGAGACCTTAAAGGTTATCTAACCTTGTTTGCTACCCAGCAAGTGAATCCCCTCCACTGCGTTCCCCAGGATCTGATAGGTACCAGACACTGCAGGGGAAACAAGATTTCTTCTGAACAACATACTCAAGCTTAACCACAAAAATATCATATGCAAATATAGATTTTCCTGTTTAAAATTTGAAGGTTTTTTTTTATTCCTTCTTGTTTTCTGGCCGATGTCTCTAAAAGGTGATTTCCTGATGATTTGTTTGAAATAACAGCCTTTTGTTTGTAAAAGAGCAACTAGGCAGCTGGGTGGTGCGATGAATAGAGCATTGGCCTGGGAATCAGGAAGACAAGAATTTGAGTCCTGCCTCACAGACTTAACTGTCTGTGTGAATTTGTGAAATGTAATTACAGCATCTACTTCACAGGGCTGTATGTAGAGCTTTAGAATTTATTAGTCATTAAATTCCCTACCCCCTTGAATCATTCTGCCCTCTTAAGCTCTATTTTGGAGCTGGAGGATTTCATTTTTTCTTTCTTTAAAAATTTTTTTTTGTGGTTTTCCTTGGTATAGATAATGCCTAAATGTGATTTATTTGGAGCCAGGAAATGGTAGACATAAAAACAACTCAGGGGAACTGAGAAGTTTCTGGTAATACATGATGGAATCTGCCATATAAGGCCTTTTTCTCTCTCTAGATATTGGGATTCTCACTGCCCATTCTCTGCTGTTACCTCTTTTTTCTGTCTCTCCCCTGTTGCTGTGGTAATTTGAGCAATAGCTAATACTTTTGAGTTCTGTTGGCAAGGTCAAATTCTGTCTCCTCCATGAAACTTTTGTCATTCTCCCTGCCAGTAATGGACTTTCATCCCTTGGAATTCATATTGCCTTTATTATTTTGTATTGTGTATCATTTCATTATATGATTATAATTTTAGATCTGGAAAGGAATTTAAAGATCATCTAGTGTACATTTTTTATCTTCAGAAGAAGAAATTTAGGCTCATAGGTGAAATGACTTGTCCTGGGTCATACACAAATATTAAGGAGCAGACCTGGGTTTGAAACCTGTTTCCCATGAATTCAAATATAAGTCGTTGTACATATTATATTCCTTAGCTGGGACTGTGTATTCTCTCAACATTTTATCTCCCTCAGGGCCTAGCCCATGATAAATATTGGCTGAATTGTACTGAAAACCTTCACTTGACCTGATCTTCCCTCAGACTATCTTCCTACATCTGTCTTTCAGCCAAACTCCTAGAAAAAACTCTGTGGTCCCTGCTTCTGCTTCCTCTTGTCTCATTCATATCTCAACCATTTGCAATCTGGCTTCCAAGTTCATCATTCAACTGAAACTACTCTCTCAAATTACCAGTGATCTCTTAATTGACATGTCTAATGGTCCTTTCTTCAGTCCTCATTCTTCTTGATCTCTAAGAAGCATTTGATCCTTTTGGTCTTCCTCTCCTCCTAGATATACACTTTGTAAGGTTTTCATGATATTCTTCTATCTTGGTTTTCCCCCTACTTACTTGGCATTTCTTTGTGAATTTTCTTAGATGGGCTGTTGTCTTCTAACTGTAATTATACCCCAAGACTACATCCTAAGCCCTCTTTTCTTTCTGAATGCTTTTTCACTTGGTGATGTCATAAGCCCTTATTGGCTCAATTCTCTATACAGAGAACACCCGGACCCTTCTATATAGCCCTAATCTCTCTCCTTAACTTCAGTCTCACATCACCAACTTCCCATCAGACATTTTGAAAGTGGATATCTCGTAGGCATTTCAAACTCTATGTGTCCAAAGGAGAACCCATTATTTTCCTTCCTAAACCCTCTCTTCTTCTACCTTGCTCATTTCTGTTGGTCATCACTCTCATTTTCAATATTGGTGTTATTCTTGATTTCTTACCTTCAACCCACATATCCATTCACTATCCAGATCTTGTAGTTTCTACCTCCATAACATTTTTTACCTCTGTCCTCTTCTTTCTGCCTCATACAACCTTCATCCTAGTTCAGGCCCTACTGGGCCATTGCCACTTGTCTTGATTCTTGTCTTACTACTGGACTCTGATGACTTTGTGCAGCTCTGCCTCACGTAAATCCAATTCGCATGCGAGTCAAGACATCACCCTTCTGATGATATTGGTCCTCTTGGAGAATGAAGGATGAACAGCAGTTCTGGCTTGGACTATTGCAATAGACTCCTAACTAGTGTTCCTATTTCAAGTTTTTTCCTTCTCCAATCTGTCCTCTTTCCAGCTGCCAAAATGAATTTCCTAAAATGGCATATCTGACCTTGTAACTTCTCTACTGGAACTCTAATGTCTCCCTATTGACTCTAGCATCAAGTATTATTTCATATTTACTTCGTCCTTTTAAAATTTCTATTTGTGTAAGTTTCATAATGCACACAGTAATTATTAGAATTATAGCATATAGATAATAATTTATAAAAAAAGTATATACATATGTTGGAGATACATTTTTCAAGGAGAAACCTTGAAAATCAGTGGCATGGATGATTGTGGAAGAAGTTTGACCAAATAGCTGTAGAACTGCTACCTTTAGCAGTTCATAGGCACGAAAATTTACAGACCCATAAACATAGATTTGAGAGATCATTTGGCCTTCTGCATTTCTTGGTCCATTAGCTCATCTTTATCCCTTAAAAAAAAACTTTTGCACTAAGTTTTACTTTAGGAAAATGAACTTGTTGCAATTAATGTTCCCCCAACTGTCATATTTATTTTGGTGGGCCATTTTTTTGCCATTAGAAAGAGTTCCTACCTTCTAGCATCATGGAGTCACCATCATGGAGTTTTCACTAGATCGTATTATCTAGTGCCTTTGGACATTTTCATTGACTTCTTGTATTATGAAGCAATTAACATTATGTTTAAGCTTTTCAGAAAACTTATTTTGCCAACTGTTGCAGGCCTTTTAAGTCAGATAGTTCAGAGAGTTCATAGGGTAATGTGGTCGCATAGAGGCAGTTTATTAAACTGTGCAGGGTAAAGGTGTCACAGTCAGTGCCTGGCAAAGGTCTACTAAAATATGGCTACATGGTAATAGTTAAAGGTTCATAATGATAGATTGCTTCTCTGGGTGAAAAAGTAAGGTCGTAATTCTGGGCAATGAAAGAAAGCAAATTACAACAGGAAAGCAAAGGTAGAGGAAACAGGATTCAGGACTTTTTATTTTAAAAAGAAGTTTTATAGATTGTATTTGGTCTGTGAAGCACAGTGGTACAGGGTGATGGTCTTTGAAGGTAATATGGTAAATGAAGGCCCTTTCTTTGCTAGGAGATTAAAAAAACAACCTGGATAGAAAAGCATGTCTTGTGTCAAGGTGTTAAAGCTGCCCTCAAATTGTTATGGTAAAGATTTACTGGGCACTCCAGCAGAAATAATAGAGAATAAGACTGGGTTTTCATTAAATACAAAACAAAACTAACTGAAATGTGAAGAGGACTGAATTTTGGTATTTTTCTTTCTTCCAGATCACTGCTTTGGTTAAGTCTAAAGAGGGCACCCATGATTTTGATGGTTTCTGCTTCTGAGAAAAATAATCAGATTTTTCATCACCCCTACTAATTGGCTAAACAAATACAGGTTAGTATATTTTGGGGCTTTTTTTCTTTTGAAATTCTATGAGGCTGAAAGAGGGCTAATCATGGTTATACCTTGTCATACGTAGGTATATACATATATATACCCTCCCATCCCCCCCGCATATACACATTTACCAGATGGGGCTGAATGACCCGAATTGTACTGCCCCCCCCCCCCCTTTTTGGTTCTACTGAATTGTTGTAAGTTAATAAGCATTTACTAACTGCATGCTATACTCATGTCTTCTTTTCTACATGGAAAAAAATCCTCCAACAGAATTAAAATGATTCCTGAGCCAGGCCTGTACCCCAGGCTGTTGATTTTTTTTTTAGGTGAATAATATATATTGTGTAGTGTATACTCCTTTAAAGTTAGATGCTGGATATGCATGAATAGCCAGTGTACTTCATGTGTTTGACTGTTATCTATCCATTCTACACTTTGTATTGAAAGTTAGCTTAGTCTGTCTTTAAGACTGACATTTTTACAGTTGGCTTTTGTGTTCAGGTTTTGAGTAACATGCTTGTCCACAGTGTGGTGTGTATATTTGGAAATATGGTTACTCTTTCCTCTTCTAGAATTGAAATAAGTAGTTTTGTGTTTTCAAGTTAAAAGGTTAGTTTAACTTTAGATCTGAATGGCTTAGCTGTTTTTTCTTGTTATATGCCTTTTATTAAAAAACTGATCTTAAAACAGATTAAAAACATGCATAATTCTAGAGTATGGAAAGAGAACAGAATTGTTAGGCAATTAAGATACTAAGAAATTAGGTGCGATATCATTTGTGCAGAAGTAAACACGGTTTAAGTGCTTTTTCTTGAAATTTTGTGCTGGTATTAAAATGTTTTTTCTTTTTAACAGATAAATTTTAGTTCAAAGAGAAGCCTGAAATGTACGGATAAATTTGTACATTTTGACATTGGTAGCTTCCAATGACTAGTGCTTTAGAAAGTGATGCAAATAGTGAGAATATTGCTACCTTCACAAAGGGCATAAGTTTTGAGGGAGGATGGATTTGGGGTTGGAGGTGGGTGGGCAGGAAAGATTAAGTTTTAAAAAATTTTTTTATTTATTTATTTTGCTTTATCAACAATCACTTCCATATTCTTTTGAGTTGAAAATTTTTCTCCCCCTTAATCCCCCCCACCCTCCCCAAGATGGCGCACAATCTGATATAGGCTTTACATTTACATACCCATGAAACGTATTTTCACATTAGTGAAGTTGTAAGTAAAAATGAAAACCAATAGGAGGAACCATCAGAAAGATGAAAAAACTCAACAGAAGGTAAAAATAAGTGATAGCGATTCAACTTCTATAGTTCGTTCTTTGGATGTGGACAGCATTTTCCATCACGAGGTCTCTGGAGATGTCTTAGATCCTTGTAATGTTGAGAAGGGTTCAATTTAACAATATTAGTCATCGCATAACGTGGCTGTTATTATATACAAAGTCCTCTTGGTTCTGCTCACTTCACTCAGCATTAGACCATATAAGTGAAAGATTAAGTTTTTAGAATCGACTGTTTGGAGCGAAAATTAGAGTGTCCCTCTTTCTTGGAGGAAATTGTGGTCTAAAAAGGAAGCTTTGAGAAACCATTGGGGTGTTTTTTTAAGGGACCCGCTTAATTTATTATTTACTACCAAATGGAAATGCTTTTGAGATATGTTATATTCAAAAAAGCCTTTGGTTTAGATATCAGAGTAAAAAGATACAAAACTTTAACTTTGTCCTGCCCAATTGTTTCTAAATGTTTTTATTTCTGTTATACTATTCTCAAAAGTATTTTTTAGATAAGTAGCAAGGATTCATTTAAGTCTAAAGAGTAACTTCTGAAATAAAGCATTTGAATCAGGGTAATGAAATTTGAAAAATGTTCTTAAAGGAACCATAACCATTTTTCATGGACAGATGCGCATGTCCCTGATGTGCTGAATGTTATGAATTCATCATAGTTTAAACATTTTAAGGTTATATAGACTTGGTTGCATGTATTTTCTAAAACTCACATGTATTTTTCTAACTTTCTAACATAGCATAAAAGATATAGCCAGAAGCAAACTCCTAGAGAAAGCATTAACAATTTGGAAATATAGATTCTGCTTGCAGAAGAAAGTAATCTAGGCATGTTAAGGTAAAAGGTGACTTGCTAAGGTTCTATAGTAGTTTTTATGCATGTAATTCCTTGAACAGCTTTATGATAAGGATCATACTTTGGCATTTTCCAGAGAACCCAATACAGTGTTATTTCCACAGCATGCATTTAGCAAATGTCTCTTAAATTAATGAATGAGCTCTACTACTTGGACCACCCTGGAAACTAGGAAAAGCATCTTGGAACAGAGTTGTCCCAAAAGTTAGCAAGATTAATGTTAAGCTCTAGGTTTTCAGAAAGCTTCTGAGTGGTATCAAGCGAAATATAACAAAATTATATAGATGGGTATTGTTTTCACTGATTTTTGGAGCTGGTTGGGAAATTAGAGATTATTGAGTCTGATTCTTCCATTTTACAGATGGACAAACTGAAGTCCAGATGTGGTATGGTGAATTTATCAAGCTGACATAGTTAGTGGCTAAGCTAATCTTAAAACCCAAGAATCTTAACTCTCAGATCAATAAGGCACTAAACTATACTCTCTTCTCTGCAATATAATGGTCTTAACTTTGTGGAACATTGAGAGGTTGAGTGATTTGCCTGGGATAACATAGCCAATATATGTCAGAAGTGGTTCTTGAACCCAAGTGACATTTAAAAGGGTTTGAGAAACATCATTTCTGGGTAATTTAATCATGTTATTAATAATGCCAGCATTTTAATAAAAGGATAGTCATTTAGCCATCTCTCTCTTAGACCAAAGACCATTATGGTGCCAGGCTCACAGTTTTTATGCCCTTTTGAAGAGTAGAGTAGGTGTTCCCCAGGTTGGCTGTCAACTCTGAATGAGTAATAATTAATGAAGGATTTTATCTAGAGAAGTGGGTTTACTCCAGTGAGGGGCTGAGAGTGACATCACGTCTCCCTTGGACGGGAGACTATCTCTATACCCAGACTACCCCTAGCCTTGGGCAATTTAGACAAGAGGGACTGTCTCTAGAGACCAAGCTTGACTGAATGGAATTCACCTTAGACTAGAGATTCCTTAAAAGGTTGGGTAGGGTGGGATAGAGGAGAAAAGTTAGCTCAACCTTCAGAGCTTGAGGTCTTGAAATGGCAATGGAGAAAGGGAGAACTCTGAATCTTCCCAGGTCTTTAGTAATTAATGATCATTTCTCTCACAGGTCTTTCTGGTTTTGAGACTGGCTCTCTACTATACCATTCCCATGTTTCAAAATTATGTTATTAGGTTCATTTAATAAGTTATCACTTCAGGTTTACTTGTAGCTCAAAACAAGTGAGCATTTTCCATTTTTTATTTTGAGCTAAATTGGGTCTACTATGTTGGCAGTAAAAACTTGGAAAGAAAATCAGTCACTAGATTTATTAAACTGCTCCTATTCAAATAGCATTGTTTAAGGTGCCGAAGTGGAAGAAAGGAAAGAAGACAAAAACTCAAAATGTAGTCCTTGCCCTTAAGGAGTATATATATAGTCTAATAGAGGAAAAAGTCAGCAACACAAATAGCTATAATATACAGTTATCACAAAATAAATGCACTAAGGTGTAAAATAAAGTACTTTTTGAGATCTGAAGGGGGATGATTATGTTTTAGGGATCACCTGATTAGGAAATAGTCTGGAAATGTCAGGGCTGTATGTTGAAATTTTTTTTCTAACAGGGCTACAGAAATTATGAAGCATAGTGTAGATTACTAGAGGGTGGGATGGAAAGTAGGAGCCTCCAACTGAGGTCCAGGAATCTCTAAATGGGGCTGTGTTGCTTTTAGATATTTGATGTGTAGGTATTTCAATATGTGTAGGAAGATTTAAACAGGTCCTTTTTATTTTGCTGAGAGGTGTTTAAAGGAGATAATCCTAGACTTGTCCTGGACATAGCCAGTGTTGATTTTCTACATTTACATCTAAAAAATGATGCTGTAATCATTTAAAGCATTTGTTCACTACTTTAAAAAAAATCTATGAGGCTCGAGCATAGAATACTCTGTTTATAGTTAACATTTCTTATTCTGTTATCTTTCCAAGATATTTTGTATTATTTCTGTCCTTTCTAATATTTGTAGACTTCCACTTTAGTAGCACGGTAGATTGAAGTAATGTTTTGTTTGCTCTCTTGGCCAGCTCATCAATGAAGATGTTAAGTGGATTAGTCTTGATCCTCGTATTTGACTTGTACATAATTTTCGATTTTGATTAGCTTGTTTGTAAGAGTAACATTCTTCAGGCCAATTAATTTATTTAAAGTTAGAAAAATGTGCTATTTGCAGTAGACTCTCGTCAGTTACTTTTGAAAAGAAAATAGCTAATTAGGTAAATATTAGAGCTACCTTTTCATTGCCTTTATATTTCTCTATCCTGTCATCTTGTTAGGTCTTGTCTTGGAATATTCTTAAGCAAGAATGTTACTTCTCATATGTACATCATCAGACCAGGATCTCATAAGTTCTAGTCTAGGGATGACTTGGTGATTGAATGCCCCTTATGAGTTTATTCCTATGGAATGTAGACTTCTTGAATGAAAAGACTTGTTTGATTTCTCTGTATCTCGTATGCCTTACCTAAGTGGCTGCCATGTTTGAGCTTTTTTAGAGATGGGCATTGATTGATTTGAACAGGTTGCTCTAGCGTGGAGAGTTAACTTCCATTTTGTATCGTGCTTAAATTAGTGTCTTCTAACTGCTTCAGGGGCCTGCTGAGCATTCGAAAAGACATTGTTACAGAAAGGCTGTAGACATTCACAGTGGCATTGCACTTTTCTCTACTGTTTAATTTTCTCAAGATCGACATCTAGCATAAGTACAAAGTGGACCCAAGTCTCTTGAGTAATCTTTCATTTATTAAACACCTATTGAGTGCCAAATGCAAGGGACCAGGTGAAAATGGCT